GTTTTGTTGTGGATTCGGTGCTAACGACCGAGGATAAAGTTTAAATGTGCGTGTGTGTATGTGTGTGACATGGGTAATATGCTTTATTAAAAGATGCACCGAGTTAGCGTTGCAGGGAAAACAGCCTGGGAGTTTATGCTTTTTTTTTTGTGTGTGTGTGTGTGTGTGCTTTCCTCCTCTTGTGCGTGTGTGTATGTGTGTGACATGGGTAATATGCTTTATTAAAAGATGCACCGAGTTAGCGTTGCAGGGAAAACAGCCTGGGAGTTTATGCTTTTTTTTTTGTGTGTGTGTGTGTGTGTGCTTTCCTCCTCTTAATTTTATTAAAGTTCTTAGTGGGAGAAACAAAGCTTGGAGGGGCTGCTGCTTTACTAGCTTTTGTTTACTTACAATCAAGTTTTTCCTGTTTGGAGCAGGTGCGAAAGGATGAGAAGCATGTTGTGTTGGGTTTTTTTCTCTCCCCCCCACCCCTTAATAAAACTATTACAGACAATTAACAGTAAACGTTATCTCCAAGGCTGTTTCTTTGGCTTGTGTTACCAAAAAGCCGATCTGTTTGTTACAGCTGCTAGGAGGCTTTAGTTTACAGTAGCATTCAAGTTTTTCCTGTTTTGAACAGGTTATGAAGGAAGAATGGAGTTTCCAGACCATAGCCGCCAGTTGCTGCAGTGTCTGAGTCAGCAGCGTCACCAGGGCTTCCTGTGTGACTGTACTGTTTTAGTTGGAGAAGCTCAATTCAGAGCTCACAGAGCCGTTCTTGCCTCTTGCAGTATGTACTTCCATCTTTTCTACAGGGACCAGTTAGACAAAAGGGATATTGTGCATCTGAACAGTGACATTGTCACAGCCCCTGCCTTCAGCCTGCTGCTCGAATTCATGTATGAGGGAAAGCTGGAATTCAACAGTCTCCCGGTCGAAGATGTGCTGGCTGCGGCTAGCTACCTTCACATGTATGACATTGTGAAAGTCTGCAAGGGCAAGTTGAAAGATAAAGAATTATGTTCGGAAGAGAAGATTAATGATGAGGCGGCTAGTTTGGAGAAAGCGGAGCATTTTCTAGACGCCGGAGTGCCCCTGGTCCACGAGTTTGACCCAGGAAACAAACAAAAATTCAGCGTTGCAGAATACGAGAGAGCAGCAGGCAAAGAAAAGGTCAGCAGTCACCCTGCCTGGTCCTCTGATCATATAAGTGTCAGCTCTGTGCCGACAGAGGCAGAACCGTGTGCCGCAGCAGCTGGAAAAACAAAGGCTAATGTCAATAGTTCCACAGGACCTTTGTCCCAAAGGTCTGTTAACCATCCCCTGGCTTCGAGTGATGTGGACTGTGCGCTGGATTTGTCTTTCAAGCCCGTGCCGGGGAGAGATTCCTTACACCCCTCCTATGTCTTTGGACAGCTGGCTTCCGACAGCCAGCAGCAGGGTACCGAGCCACTTGTTAAAGATGAACAAGACTTGCTGTCAGATCAGGAGGACGGCGAAGCCAGGAGTCCGGAGAGTCAGCATTTTGGGAATTCAGCCAAAAGCCTAGTGACAGGGTTAGGACACATGTTCGCGGGGAATGGCAGCTCTCATGCCCGAGAGGAGGATGTAGATCAAGAGCGAGACGAGAGCGAGGACGACATGGATTCGTCGGACATCTCCTCCTCGGGCGTCCTCGTGCCTCCCGGGCATATCTGCATTTGCCCCCTCTGTAGCAAGGTGTTCCCGAGCCCGCACATCCTTCAGCTGCACCTGAGCTCTCACTTTCGCGACAAGGACGGCTCGGCGCCCCCTTTCCCCCGACGGGTCCGTCCCCACTTGTACCCTCTGCGGAAAGACTTTTTCTTGCATGTACACGTTAAAGAGGCACGAGAGGACTCACTCGGGGGAGAAGCCTTACACCTGCGGCCAGTGCGGAAAGAGCTTCCAGTATTCCCACAACCTCAGCCGCCACGCGGTGGTGCACACCAGGGAGAAACCCCACGGGTGCAAGTGGTGCGAGAGACGGTTCACGCAGTCTGGGGATTTGTACAGACATATCCGCAAATTTCATTGTGGCCTTGTAAAGTCCTTGGTTGTTTGAGATGCGTGATTTTTATTTTTTTTTTAACCCCCTCCCCCCCCCGCCCTTTTAAAACAAAACAGGAAAAAAAGGCAGCATCTGAATTTTAATTCTTTTTTTTCCTCCTTTCCTTTATTTTATTTTGGTGATATTCACTTCAGGTATATGTTCTTTAAAAGATGCAGAGGTAAACGCTCCAGAGGCCTTTCAATGCAGTCCTTCCACCTCTCCCCTTCCCCTGCCGCCCTCCCTTCCCAGCCCTGTCCTATAGGTCTTCTCTTGCGCACCCATGTTACATTATTAATCTGAACTGATCTAAGTAATTCTGCAATGATTTAGCATCTGTTTTCATGCTGGAAGTAACTTGCTTCGTGGTCAGGTTTTTTTTTTTGGTTTTGGTTTTTGTTTTTTTTTTAGGGTTTGCTTTTTTTTCTTTTTAATTTCGAAAAAATTATCAGCAAATTCCGGAGAAAAATTTGGATTCCATTAAGCTCCCCTGATGCTCTCTGCGTGTTGCATAGTAACATCTGAAGAGATGAACTATGATTTAAATACATTTCAGTGTAGAGAAACTTGTCTGCATATCGCAGAGTAAGCGGCCGTACTCTTATTTTATAGAGCTAGACAAGACCTTAAATTGGCCCCAGTTGCAAAGGGGGTTGAGGATTCCTGGCTGCGTCTTTGGTACTGGTCATTTTTTATTCTCTTTATTATATTAGAATAGTTCTGCAGTCGGTCCTAAAGTCTGAATGAGAAGTTTTTGCCTCGGGACTTGACTTAAATTTTCCCTTCCCACCCATCCTCGTCTGTGGGCTGACCTACTGAAAAGCTGCTTTTGAGCATAAAATGTGGACGGAAAAAACTCTTTCTGTCTGCAGCGTATTCACTCCCGAAATGCTGAAGGATGCGCACTAGGACATACAAAAAATCGTATGATACATGAATAACTCCCTTCCCATATCGACACCCAGGGGCTGATCCTGTCCCCCTTGCGGGGGGGACAGCAGCCCTAAAGCAGCTCCTGGGGTGTCTTAGTTCAAGGTAACTCGTACCACGTGTGTTAGGAGATGCCCTGCTATCTTGTCCGAAAAGTTTGCTGCTATGCTAAAATAGGCAGCTCAGAATTCTATTTTATTTTATTTTTTATGAAGTTGGTGATTCCCTCTTGGCCAAATTCTGTGCAATCGCCGGTATTTCAAAGGGGCAGTATGAAGATAAACTGCTGGAGGGAAAACATGGCCCGACTTTTTCCCCCCATGTCCTACCTTTTCGGGGGAGGTTTTTGGGGTCTTTTTCGGTGTTTTATTTTAGTTGGTTTGTAAACTGAGGCTGCCTGTAACTCTAACCAGTTTTACTCCAAATAACTCAATTACTTGCTTAATAGAGCATCCTCTGGTCTGTGCATGTCGGTAAATATCAGATTATTCCCTTCCAGTCAAATTACCCATTCAAGGTACATGTACACGGGACTGAAATATAATAATATCTGAGGGTTTTGAATGTCGTTCTGCTGCGTTGGCGTTGCTTCACCAGCTTTCCTGACACTCCTGGAGTTGTTTTGTGAAACTTAAGCGTTTATTTTAAAATGAATTTGAAGCACTGAGTGAGATTATTTTAAAAAGTTGTGCTTAAAATGCTGTATTTCATCTTATGAAGAAAAAATTTCCCAATGCCTTCCCCCTCTGGTCCAAAAACTGAGCACTACCTACATAAATAATATGGGATTGATTTTTTTTTTTTTTTGGGTGTTTTTTGTTTTTTTTTTTTTTTGGGTGTTTTTTGTTTTTTTTTTTTTTTGGGTGTTTTTTGTTTTTTTTTTTTTTTTGGGTGTTTTTTGTTTTTTTTTTTTTTTTTGGGTGTTTTTTGTTTTTTTTTTTTTTTGGGTGTTTTTTGTTTTTTTTTTTTTTTGGGTGTTTTTTGTTTTTTTTTTTTTTTGGGTGTTTTTTGTTTTTTTTTTTTTTTGGGTGTTTTTTGTTTTTTTTTTTTTTTTTTTGGGTGTTTTTTGTTTTTTTTTTTTTTTTGGGTGTTTTTTGTTTTTTTTTTTTTTTGGGTGTTTTTTGTTTTTTTTTTTTTTTTGGGTGTTTTTTGTTTTTTTTTTTTTTTGGGTGTTTTTTGTTTTTTTTTTTTTTTGGGTGTTTTTTGTTTTTTTTTTTTTTTGGGTGTTTTTTGTTTTTTTTTTTTTTTGGGTGTTTTTTGTTTTTTTTTTTTTTTTTTTGGGTGTTTTTTGTTTTTTTTTTTTTTTGGGTGTTTTTTGTTTTTTTTTTTTTTTGGGTGTTTTTTGTTTTTTTTTTTTTTTGGGTGTTTTTTGTTTTTTTTTTTTTTTGGGTGTTTTTTGTTTTTTTTTTTTTTTTTTGGGTGTTTTTTGTTTTTTTTTTTTTTTTGGGTGTTTTTTGTTTTTTTTTTTTTTTTTGGGTGTTTTTTGTTTTTTTTTTTTTTTGGGTGTTTTTTGTTTTTTTTTTTTTTTTTGGGTGTTTTTTGTTTTTTTTTTTTTTTGAAAGTACTTTCTCTTTTAAAGAAAATCAGGATCTACTTGTTACAGCCTCCTCTTATTGTTCGTCTCTTAAACTATGAATGTACATGTAATGTGAAATTTTGCTTCTATTTATAGTTTTGGGTTTTTTTGTTTTCAGTCTAATTTCTTGACTGTACAATATTTTTGCTGAACCTGTTACATATGAAAGTTGTGGGAGAGTACTGTATCTTGAACATAAGTGGCTTTGGTACTGTGGTCTTATTCTACTTAATCAGTTTTTTCTTCCTTTTTTTTTTTTTTCTTTCTTGCTGTGATTTGAAATAGCACTGAACAAAATCTACTAAAATTAAGTTATTTTTCTTCCTACTAAAATTAAGTTATTTTTTTCTCCTGAAGATACTTGATATAGTATTTATTAGACTTTTTTTTGAAGTGGAATTATTACTGTTAATCTATTTCAAAACTAGTTAATTTACACTTCACTTTAAATTTTATAACAATGGGTTTTGCATGTTGAACAACATGTAAAGAGTTTAATGTAGAGTCAGCATTACTGAAGCTGGTAATCTTAATTTTGCATTCTTGTGACACTTTTTTTGCATTTCAGTCTTCAATTACTGTGTTTTTGGTTTTTTGGGTTTTGTTTTTTTTTTTTTTTTTTTTTTTTAGACGATCGAAAAATAGGATGTGCCATAAGAACATCATTAGCGTATGGAGCAGGGAAAAGTTGAAACAAGGTTGTGTCTGATCTTAGTCTAGAAATAATTCATTAAACTGATGCTATGAGCATGCTCTGTACTGCAGTGAATATGGGGCAAAAGTTTTTTTAAAAAAAAAATTACTTTCTCATTCTTCTCTTCATCATGCTTCACTACATACACGCTGTTCTCATAGTCTGGTATTTGTGTTCCCACTCCTCATAGCTTGAATTTCTAAAGTAAAAAAAAATGTTTGCACTTATTTTTGTTCTTAAGGTGACTTTTTTTGGCTGTCTTTCTGTGTGTGTCTCATATTTTTAAGTTGCAATAGCTCGGAGCATGTTTTCAAAATGGTTCATGGCTCTACAGAGAAGTACTAAAAACATTGCACACTTACGCTTGTCTCTTCATATCCTATTTCACTGTGGGGCTGTTACTGTCTCTGTAGGAGACAGTCCTGCTCCGCATTTTAAACACTGGATTTGTCTTCTACTACAAACAAATACTGTGAAGTTAATGTAAAAAAAAAAAAAAAAAAAAATTCATTGATATTTTTAATTGTTTTTAATCTTGGTGCAGTTCAGATTAAATATGTATATTTAAAGACACTAATTTTTGTGGGAGAGTTTTATAGTATACAGTATGTAGAAAAGCTATTGGAATGGAATATATTTTATAAAAACGTTCTATCACTGTTTTATAGTGAACTATTTTTTCTTCAGTGTTAGTGTAATACTGTTAGTCTAGATACGACAATCGCAGGAAGAGTGATTCAAGCTACTGTTAGCGCTTAGTTTTGCGTGGAGTTCTGTTTGCAACTGTATTGGTATGTGCTGTACAACGTGACAATCGTGACTAGGATTGTTGTCTTTATAAATTTACACAAAATAAAACGTGCTAGAGTTGTAAGCTTGAGCCGCCTCCTCCTCCTCCCCCCTTTAGCAGAAGGGGTGTGGTGTTTGGGTTTTTTATTAATATTTATTAATTATTTTTTTTGTTATTTTTATTATTAATATTTTACAGGTAGTTGTGCTGCTTTTTGTCATTTATTATTATATACTCTAATGATTTCTTTCTTTTTCAGGGCCGCGTGGAATTTTAGGCGTGTGAGGAGCTGCCGTATGTCAGAGCCTGGCCGAGCATTTCCTTAGTCACTGGGCAGGACTAAAACCAGCACCACTTCTGCATTTTCACCAGAGTATCTGGGAGGTTTGAACGGGCTCAGCTCTCCCTCCGATGCCCTGAGTGAGCTTTGGACCAGCCCTGCCCTGAGCGATGCTGCTTTACAGCCGCAGGCGGGTCCTGGGGACCGGGTGACGAGCCTGTGAACGCAGAAGTGATGCGGCGTGCGAGGGCAGTCTGGCAAAGGCGCCCGTGCCCGCCGGCATCCCGACACCGTTGGGCTGACCGAAGCCACGTTGGCTAACTTGCGTGAAGGGGTTCTCTTAAGTGCCAAAACTCTCCCAGGCTTGGGAGAGCTGAGGTCTGACCCAACTCCCGCTAACATCTGCCTTACAACTTGGGTTGATTTAGCAGGAGCTGGGATCAGGAGGAAGAGGACACGAGCTGCCGGGGCCAGCTGCTGCTCAGGGGAGGAAAATAAGCTGGTGGGTAGGTTTGCACCTGTACTACGCACACTGTATCTTGCACTTCTTAATTATTTGGAGGCGCAGGATCCCGGCAGAATCAGACTGCCTTGAAATGGTGCTGGTGGAGGGATGGGCAAATTACAGTTAATGCTGGTGTGGAGGGACAGCTATCTCTCCCCTCCTGCTATCGCGTAGCCGCTTCTTTGCAATCGTCTCAAAATAGGTAGGTATTTCTTGCATTCAAGCATGTGTCCTGCCTTGCAGAGCTTGTGCCTCCATCCCCACCTGCGGGGAGGGCAGAAAGGTGCTGGAGATGTGCAGCGGTCCTGCTTTGATGTGGTGAAGTGTTAGAAACTATAGATACTTTTTTTTTTTTTAAATTTCTACCACTGGGGGGTGGGTGTCCCTGCAGCTGCTTATTTGTGGGACTCTGTTTTCACTCTTTTCTGCTGTTGTGGATGTATGGAAGAAGATTCAAAGGTGTTTTATCCCCCCTGCCCCCAAAAATTAACTAAATGTGTCCAAATCTGGGTGCTGTGCTAGGGAAGGGGGATGCAAAAGGCTTTTCTTTGAGCGAGAGGGTGCTCGGGAAGAAGTGAGCTTGAAGCTAAACCTGGGAGGTGGATGGCTTGCAAGCAGGCTATAAATAACCGTGAGTAGATTGAGGAGAGCAGCCCACATCTACTCTGGCATGGGCATGCTGTGCCCATTTTCTTTGTTGATAGCAATTGCTAATGTGAATTCTGGCACTCCAAATCCTGATGCCTGTTGTTCTGATAACATAATTAAATCTTAGGAATGTGAAATGTAAAAAGCTTTGAGAAGAAACCAGGCCACTAAGCGGATACTGGAAAGGGGGGGTGTGGGGTGTGTACGTACCGAATAAGCAGTGGGATCCCTCTAGGCATGGTTCCCTGCCTGCCAGCTCGCAGGTGTGCTGGGATAGATCCTGCCCTTCCCTATGGGAAAGGGGGTGACTCCCAGGAGCATCTGCTGTCCTAACCCCGGGCCGCAAGAGCTGTCATCTTCCAGGATTACAGCACGTAATGGGCTCCTTAGGTTGGCAAGGATCAGTCCTGCCAGTGCCAGCAGCTTGGGTTCCTGCCACCCTTGCAAAGCCCGGTTCTCCTTGGGGTGAGTGTTGTGAAACGGTTTTATTTATTTTTAGCTTTTGTTTTGAAGTGCCTTCTGGAGGTGGTCTGGCCTTGGTATGCACAAGGGTGGCTGTGGATGTCCGGGTGCATCTGCCCATGTGTCACCAGATGCCACCGTGCAGCTGGAGACCACAGAGGAATGGCTGCTTCCTAGCTTGGGTGGTGGGGTGCGGGTTTGGACCGAGTGCCTCCCAGCCACTCAGGAGTTCATGCTGACCCATGGGCATGTCACCAGGTGAGGTCCCTGGCGCTGTTGGATCCTACGTTGTGGGAAACAGTGTGTGGATGAACCATATTTATTGTTTAAATTAGATTCTTGCAGGTGAAATAAGCCTCCAAGCCTGTTAACAAGGGAGGTCCCCCATGAGAAGTAGTTGGGGTGGAGAGGCAGAGGGATCTTTGCCCAGCTTGTTGGTAGTACTGTCACCATCCAGCTTCTGCTGGTGCTCAGGGTTGGATCGTGCCACCCTGAGCTTTGCTTGCTGGTGAGTACCTTACTGCGCTGTTTTGCTGAGGAAGGCGCACAGCAGAACATGAAACAGCACCTGTTATCTGAGGAAATCAATGGCAGGTGTGACCCAGCAAAAACAGCCTATGTAGGACAAAGCTGGGCTCGAGTGAAATGGAGTCAAGCCTACGGTGCAGTTGGTGTGTGAAAACACCTCGTCCTGGGAGGAGGAGGAATCGTGAACGGGGCTGTGAGCGACCTGCCTAGAGAACATTTTGTCTCAAATGACTTGATGTTTTGTGCCGGGGAGGACCTGGCTGCAAGTGCTGCAGATTGAGCAACTTTGTGCAGCAAGGTGTCTTTCATAACAACAGG